TGATGATGACTTCTCATTGGCTGAGTTGAAGGGTGATTGTTTTCTTATAGGAGATGCAGTGTGTGCCTCTTTCCTTGTCGGGGCCTGTAATTGATGCTTCTTCCTGTTGATTTTTTGTTGTTGTTGTTGGGGTCAGTAATTGACAATTTGTTGTGTAATTGACCTGGAGTTGGATGGCTTCCTCTTCGAGTATACCCTTCCTATCCTCTGACTCCATTTTTGTGAGATTTTCCTTTACTCACAGTCATGTGAGTTATAACATATTTTACCTATTATGTGGCATTTTCTTTGCAGTTGGTGGAATAATAAGGGACTGGAGATTAAAGAATAATTTGCTTTTTTTGGATATTTTTAAAAAGATTTGATAGCATGTATTTTTATATAATAGTTTACTTATACCCCATGCATATTTCTCAGATATCTGCTGTTTAGTATTGCCTGTTTATGCCTTCTATACAAATGGAAATTCATGGCATTCATTAGTTTGGGACTTGCTTTTTCTTAAGCTCAACTATATGTCTTTGAGATTTTCAGTGTTGTTGCATACAGCTACAATTTGTTCATTTTTACAAAAGGTTATCTATTATATGAAATCATTCATTTAGTCATAATTTATTTATCCATGCTACTATTGATGCACATTTTTTTTCTCCACTTTTTGCTATCACAAACAGTGCTTTTGTACATATCTCCAGATGCATGATTGCAAGATTTCTCTAGGGGGTATATATATCAATTAAAATTTAATTCACATATATTTTGGATCCACATTTATATGTAAAATCATTCAAAGTAGCTGTTGGAATCTCCTTACAGAGATACCTTGAGAGGTCTAATAGTTGAGTACTTTTTTTTCTTATAAATTAGAGTGAACAAATAACTTACAGTTAAGATCTTTTGAATAGAAGGTATGAAGGATAATGGGTTTTTTGATAGTTGAGTTTCAGTGACAGGTTGAGAATTTTGGGCCAGCTCTGTAACTGCCCGATTTGGACACAAGGGGAATAAATACAGCACACTGAAAAGTACACTGATCTATTGGGTTGGAAGGGGCTGTATGAGATACAGTTTATTCAAAACAGGCTATCTTGGCCCTTTTCATGATTTGATATTTTTGATAATTTTATGAAACATATCTGGATGGGAAACGTTTCCCACTCTTCCTTATATCTACTTTTAGGCAACTGTTTGTTGGTTCCAGTTAGTTCTGAGCTACCAAAAATAACGTTATTGACTTACTCAGTGATTTAAAAAGTCACCAAGTCATCCATTCAATTAATAATTATTTAACATCTTCCACATTTGAAGCCTGATGCTTAAAGTTGGGCATATTATGATGAGCAAAGCAAATGGACTGACTCTCTTGGAACTTATAATTTATAGAATTAGAGAGTTATATATAAATGGAAAATTATGATGGAGTGTGATAAGTTTTATTGATGGAGGGTAGCCTAGAGTACTGTGGGAGTGAAGAACAGGTACTCCTGATCCATTTAAGGAAAGTGAGAGGTTTTTTTTAAGTTTATTCATTTATTTTGAGAGAGAGAACTGAAGAGTTGGGGGAGAGGAGCATAGAAAGAGAGGAGAGAGAATCTCAAGCAGACTTAGCGTCAGCGCGGAGACCAACGTGGCACTTGAACTCATGAACCCTGAGATCATGGCCTGAAATCAAGAGTCAGATGCTTAACCGACTGAGTCACCCAGATGCCCTGAGAGATTTTTTAAAAATACGGATTCTTGGTCCTGATCCCCAGAAATTTGGTTCTGTAGATCTGGACCAAAGAAACTTGTTGTTAGTCTTATGATGACGATAATGATGATGATGATGCTTTTAACTCCCCACACAACCCAGCCAACTAGCCAAATTTAGAAGATATTGTGTATGAGTGCTTAAAATGGCAGGGTCTCTTAAATGAACCAGGTTAGGATGGAATAGATGGCTTTTAGATAATTTCTGCTCTGAGGCCAAAGGTTGCCCTTTGTATTTATCCCTATTCAATTGTAAATTCTTGTCCTTAGGTTATGAAAATTAACTGCCCCAGTGGTGAGTTGGAGGGACTGCCTGGACTGATAGTACACACAGAAAGGACTGGAATTGTTGGGTAGCCTTAAACCCAATGAGTGTCAAAGGTGGGCCTGACTGCCATGGATGCTGCCATGATTTCAGGACACATAACTAACTGTAAGCTTAGTATTAGAAAGAAGGAGACCAGGGTCCCCTGTGGAGGACTCATTGGAGAGCACATCTGGACTCATGTGGGTAGTTTCTAGGATCCTATGTAAGGGGCATGTTGACACTTGGGGTGTATGAAAGGATTTGAGCTCCTTGACAAATATCCCTATGAAAAAGAACTAGAGAGAAGTAGTCTCATTCATCCCAGAATAAGAAAATGTAGTCTACACTGTTCCAGAAGAAAGAACTGGGACTAAAAACGTGAAGTTATATGGGAAGCAAGTCTCATTTATTCATTGACTCATTTATTCATATAACAAATATTTAGTATCTACTATAACTCATTCCCAAAGTTGCCAAAGATATACTAGTAAACAAGATGGATTCAGTTTGTGACTTCATGAAGTTGCAATTTATTGGAAGATTCAAACAGTTAAGCAAGCAGTTTAATGAAAATGTGAAAAATATGGAAATGGGAAAACCAGGGTACTATTTCCCTTCATGTAAAACATCCTTCTGATATCAGTACTGTCAGAAAGTGGTAAATGATGAGTACTCTGACCTTGGAGACAATTTAAGAGACTGTTGGGGGTAATGAGGAAGTTGTGCCAATAACTACCATTAAAATCCTGTGTAATTTTTAGCATCAATGATTGTATATATCTTGGTGACGATCCACATTCCTTGCTTTTTTCCCCCCCTTCCTGTCCCGTCCTTCCCTTTCTCCCATTCTTATTTGCAATTATTTAAGCCTGTATGATGAAATGATTTTGTGATTTTCACAGATGTTTGTGTATAAAGATTGGGACCAATTCTTAGAACTGAAGTCATTCTTAATTATTATGTTTTAATCTGGACTCTCCTGTAATGGAGGATAGGCATAGTGTGTACATGAATGCACTGTGATCTGATTTATAGCTTCAGTTTTCCCCAGTCTTCTTGATGATTAATGAATGCGGGGGGGGGACTCTTAGTGGGCATTCTAGTGGGAGCCTATATTTCTGGGGAATTGAGTGTGCACAAAGAATGAGTAGAATGTCAATGCTGCTTTCATAGAACTTTTATGTGTTCTAAATAAGATTATGATTGTGTCGATCATTATGTTTTGAATTCTTACCATGTCTTAAGTAATTAGAAAAGCTGACCTTTAATTCACAGCATTTAAAAAAATTAAATATTATGTTGTGACATTCTCAGGACTCTTTGAGCCTTTCGTATTTAGTGTTATATGCTGAACTTGGGTATTGTGAAGGCTTGGGTTTGCTTTCTCTTGACCCAAAGTGACTTCCTGTTTCTAAGAAAGCCAGTTTTAGAGACTTTTAAAAGGAATATCTTGCATGCTTGGCAGCTTTTGTAAAACCACATGTTAGTAAACCAGTGTGAATGAAGTATATTATTTAAAAAAAAAATCAAGAACCATATTGCTCGACTAAATTGGCATTTTGTTTTGTGGAAATTGGATGCCATAGAAAAATCTGGTGATTTAAGAAGTGTCTGCCTTTGGTAACCAGATAAATCAGGACCCAAAAGTTTCATTTTGATTTGGTTAATCATCCTAAGTCAAGGGGACATTTGATCACAATTTGGGGTGTACCTGTGCTGGAGTTGACACACACTAGTGATTCTGGTTATATTGTTTTTTTGTTTGTTGCAACTCGGTCACCTCCTTTGAAATGAATTCTCAGATTTAGAGCTAAATCACATGCATTCTCACAATATCCTGGAAAAAAAAATCCAGTTATTCCTACCACTTAGTCATTGAAGAAAATGAATGTTAGTGAATAAGCTTTGATAGTTAGATAATTCTCTTTGATCAGGAGGTTCATGTGACCTGGTTTTCAAGTCTTGTGACTGAGAGCTTCTTGCTCTTGGTATTGTCCTAGAAGTTGGTGTCTCACAAATATTTTAATAGGCATTAAATATGTTTTGGTAACTACAAAGACAGTTTATTCATTTGATTAATATTCATTGAGTGCCTAGTATGTGTCAGGGACTCTTCTAGAAGCAGATTGTATGGGAAGAAGTAAGGCAGGAAGGTCCTTGATTTTTACTTAAATATTACACATTTATTTAAAGGCTTACTTTGTGCCAAGGCTGTACTAGTTTCTTTGAGATTTTAAGTCATTTAATTGTCCTAGCAATGCTATGAGATAGGTATCTTTATTTTACAGGTGTAGAGGAGGGGACTGAAAGTCACCTAGCTAGGACGTGGCTGACCCAGGGTTTGAATGCAATATGAGAGTTCATTACCACCCACTTTATGGTCCCTCTGTGAGCCTGGTCTCATGAGCTCACACATTCCTTGTTTAAAAAACAAAACAAAACAAAAACCCAAAACATACACAGAAGAAAAAAAGTAAGGGAAAAGAAAAACTATGTGTAATCTGACCGCTGTTATTATTTTGGTGTCTGTGTTCCATATGTGTAATATTTAGAGGGTGCGTGCATATCTGTCTGTGTGTGCGTGTTTAAACATATAGGATACCTGGATTACTACTTACCGCTTATTTTTACAACATATTAGAAATATTTTGCAGGCCAGTACATTTTAAAAATAGACTTTTAAATAGCTTTACAGTATGCCATCATTTGTCTATATCATGATTTACCTAACCCGTTTCCTATCACTTAAAAATGTTTAATTTCATAAACCCGGCTTTAATTAATCTTTAGAACTAAATCTTTTTATAAATTTATCATTGTTAAAACGTTTCTTAGTGAAAAATGGTATTAAAAACTCCTTGTAAATATTTACATGATAGCCACATGCAGTCTGTGCTTTATGAGCATGACGATGTTAACAATGTAAATATGCTTTTTCTTCTAGGTTAGTGGATGACAGATGTGTGGTGCATCCAGAGGCTGGAGACCTCGCCAACCCTCCCAAGAAATTCAGAGGTAAGAAATACCTTTTTAATCTATTTTAGATATATTGCATATATTTATAAAAATGTATTTTTATTATGTGACCAAAGGGCATGGGATAGTTTTTGTCTTAAAATAAATCATGTTAAAACCTTATTCAATGTGAAACTTTCACATATAGATATGTCCACTGAAAATTTTCTCTAAAATTTCTTCATTGCTTCTCTTCTTTTACACATGGATTTACATTGGAAGAAGAGTTTCAATTTTTGTTTTGCTGGCCAGTAGTCTATCTGTTGAAACTAAATCTTGGTAATTAACTCTGAAAGGCTACTTTTCAAATCAATAAGTACAGCTGAATCTTTATTTATGTATTTCTGTGACACGCTGTAAACGTTAGCATTTCATGATCAACTCTTGAGTGTATCTCTGTAAAATCTCTAGGAGGGTGACAGGGATTTGTTAGCTCAGCTTTTAAAATGTCACTTTGGATGGCATCTAATAACTAATGATTGTCTAAGAACTCCTTTCTAAGTATAATTTTAGAGTTAGCTTGGTAATATCAACTGAGACATTGGTCATAATAGGAGACCAATTGTAACTTGACTGTCAGGAAGGAAGGAATAATGGAATCTGCAGAGAATCATAGACAAACTAAAACCAGTAATTACACGTTTGCTCAAATCAATTTCATAGTTTGTGTGTACTTACAAAAATAAAAATAATTTTAAAGCAGCATTCACTTTGAACACACTGTGTAAGCATTCCTTCTCATAATGGTGAAAAGCAGCATTCATATGAGGTGAAAATCAGGAGGGAGTGGTAGGGATTCCCTAGATCCCCCGACCCAAGTCAGGGTGTGCTGCTTCCTGCTCTGGGGAAGGATGTGTTCAGCATTTGACAGATATTTCTGTTTTTCACTCCTTGTGATAGGACACTTTCCACCCAAGTCTCATTATAAGAATATCATATATATTTCATTTTATTTAAACTTACATGTTGTGCAGGTGTCTGGGTGGCTCAGTCTGTTGAGTGTGTGACTTCGGTTTGGGTCGTGATCTCCCAGTCCGTGGGTTCGAGCCCTAGGTTGGGCCCTGTGCTGACAGCTCAGAGTCTGAAGCCTGCTTCAGTTTCTGTATCTCCTTCTCTCTCTGTCCCTCCCCTGTTTGTGCTTTGTCTCTCTCTCAAAAATAAATAAACGTTAAACTTAGAATGTTGTGGAGAGAGTGACAAAAACAATAGATAATTTTTGAGTTAAATCGGTCACTTTGAATAAGAAATCCAGATTTTTCTCCACATGGAAATTAACATAAAACAGGCTATGGGAGATACACTGCCCAGTAGAAGCACCCATAAAACGATGCAGTAAGGACCCTCCGCTAACCCTAGGCAGCTGAGGTGTTCTCTCCACAGCCCTCACTGAGGATGGGCTCATGATAAAACTGTGCTGTAGGAGAGTCAGCAGTGCCTCAGATGGTAGAGTGGTAGCACATTAAAGAAAAAAGAAAAGTTTTCAGGGCAAACAGGGACAACAAATCTGTATTTGTAACAGGAAAAAGCATGGTGTTCAGGTTTTGACTGTACTGCTCACTGGTTGTGTCATTTTAAGTAGGTCACCTAACCGCTTTGAGTCTCAAAGGCCATTTGTCATTGGCTGGGGAGAGCCGGGGTGGGTAATACCAAGAAAACAATGCCCACCACACAGAGCTTTATGAGGCCTGAAACCTTTCCAGAGAATAAATGTAAAGTGTTTTGAATCATTACAGAAATGATAGTTATCTTATAATAGAAAGGCATCATATATTTCCTTTTAACGTATTTGCCTCTGCTCTTACATCATACCATCTTTAGGGACAGGATTCTACTCTTTTCTTTTTGTGTTTTCCAGACATTTGCCCATACTAGACGTCCAAAAAATAGCCATTAGATGCTTTTGGATGAGACACCCAAACTCTCCCTTGGGCCCCGTGACAAAACTTGGTTTCTGGGACTGCTCCACACTTTACTGCTGCGAGATTGGGTAGTCTTACTCCTCTGTTGGTAAGGTGGGGATTCATCTTTCACAGATAACCTTCAGAGTTTGTGGCCACTTTTTTTCTTTTCCTCTTTCTCAGTGAAGTGAATTGTTTTAAGGCATTGAGATTGTTTTAGTGTATGTGAGGGAACACCATGGTAACACTCTGTACCCAGGAGGAAATTATATACAGATGCTTGGTGTCCTATTATTCAGTGGGCACTGGTTCAAAGTATGAATCACTCAGATGCCCCATCTCACCCCTGGAAGGCTGGCTTTTCCTGTAATCTAATACTTTAGATCATTGTCCTTACTAGTTTGCTCTTACTTTCTATCTTACTCCATTCATCACTGGAGAAGGAGGGCCCTTTTTTATTGGGGATTTAGGGCTCCCTTTTATCTTAAAGCCCTGACTCTTTCTCCGTGATTCTTGGAACCCCATCATGGCAGAGCTGCGGAGAGAATTCCGGGTTGGGCTTGCCTCTGCCTTGGTCTCCACACTACTCAGAAGCCACAGGTGGAAGAATAAATATTGCTAAAATGTCATTACTACCCGAAGCAATCTACACATTCAATGCAGTCCCAATCAAAATTGCACCAGCCTTCTTCTCAAAGCTAGAACAAACTATCCTAAAATTTGTACGGAACCACAAAAGACCCCGAATAGCCAAAGTAATATTGAAGAAGAAAACCAAAATGGAAGGCATCACCATCCCAGACTTTAGCCTCTACCACAAAGCTGTCATCATCAAGACAGTATGGTATTGGCAAAAAAACAGACACATAGACCAATGGAATAGAATAGAGAATTCAGAATTGGAGCCACAAATGTACGGCCAACTCATCTTTGACAAAGTAGGAAAGAGTATCCAGTGGAAAAAAGACAGCCTCTTTAACAGATGGTGTTGGGAGAACTGGACAGCAACATGCAGAAGAATGCAAATAGACCACTTTCATACACCATATACAAAAATAAAGTAAAAATGGATAAAGGATCTGAATGTGAGCCAGGAAACCATCAAAACCCTAGAGAAGAAAGCAGGAAACAACCTCCTTGACCTCAATCACAGCAATTTCTTACTTGACACATCCCTAAAGGCAAGGGAGTCAAGAGCAAAAATGAACTCCTGGGACCTCATCAAGATAAAATCTTCTGCATGGCAAAGGAAACAATCAATAAAACTAACAGGCAACTGACAGTATGGGAAAAGATAGTTGCAAATGATATATCAGATAAAGGGTTAATATCCAAAATCTATAAGGAACTCCCCAAACTCCACACCCAAAAAACAAATAATCCAGTGAAGAAATGGGCAGAAGACATGAACAGACTCTTCTCCAAAGAGGACATCCAGATGGCCAACAGACACATGAAATGATGCTCAGTGTCCCTCCTCATCAGGGAAACACAAATCAAAACCACACTGAGATACCACCTCATGCCGGTCAGAGTGGCTAAAATGAGCAAATCAGAGAACTCTAGATGCTGGCGAGGATGCGGAGAAACGGGCACCCTCCTACACTGTTGGTGGGAATGTAAACGGGTACAGCCCCTCTGGAAAACAGTGTGGAGGTTCCTCAGGAAACTAACACTAGAACCCCCCTATGACCCAGCAATAGCACTGCTAGGAATTTACCCAAGGGATACAGGAGTGCTGATGCATAGGGGCACATGGAACCCAGTGTTCATAGCAGCACTCTCCACAATAGCCAAAACATGGAAAGAGCCTAAATGTCTATCATTGATGAATGGATCAAGAAGATGTAGTTTATTCATACAGTGGAATACTACATGGCAATGAGAAAGAATGAAGTCTGGCCACGTGTAGCAACATGGATGGACCTTGAGGGTGTTACGCTGAGCGAAATAAGGCAGGCAGAGAAGGACAGATACCATATGTTTGCACATATAGGTGGATTAGGAGGAACTTAACGGAGGACCATGGGGGAGAAGAAGGGGAAAAATAGTTGGGGAGAGGGAGGGAGGCAAACCGTGAGAGACTCTGGAATGCTGAGAACAAACTGAGGGCTGATGGGGGTGGGGGGGGGGACGGGGGAGATGTGCATGGAGGAGGGCACTTGTGCGGATGAGCACTGGATGTTATATGGAAACCAACTTGACAATAAACTATTTAAGAAAAAAAATTAGATATATACTAAAAGGAAAAAAAAAAAGCCACAGGTGGGCCTCGTTGTCCCAGATGCAATGTTTTTTCACATAGCTTGTCTTTTTACAGCTCCTGTGTTTCACCGTTCTCTGCCTGAAGTGTATTTCCCTGTGCCCTCTGGTTTTAAAAACCATCGCTCTTTCATAGATTTGCTGCCCAGCATCACCACCCTTGCATTTCCAGACTCCTCTGCCAAGTTTCCAGAGCACCCTCCCTTATTGTTACAGTTTTAGATAAGGTGAAGAAACAATAGCATATCACAGTTCTGCTACACCTCAGTTCCTCTTGCCTCAGCCACACAAATGATGTTCTCAAATTAATTTGAAAAGATTTTTGTTTTTCCCAGTCTGTTATTTGTTCAAGTGAATCATATGGTTTCAGAGCTTCTAGGCAATTAAAAGTTAATCTACTGCAACTCCCCGTTTTGGGGATGAGGAGGCAAAGTTCCAGAAAGGTTAAAATGATTCTCTATAATTACAGTAATACAATGAAATATTCTTTTGACTGTGTCACATTGCTTCACCTATGAACAGAGGAAACCAAGTTTTAACAAATAACTTCCCAAGGGCTATTTAAAACCTGATTGACAGCTATTTTTCAGTAGAGACCACATAATAAGACTAATACTAACAGAAGCACAGCGGCTTCTCTTGTGAGAGCAAAATTCCTTTCATGGTCACATATTGTCCATTTTCTTAAAAGATAAACTTAACCTTTGGAATAAATTCAGATGTACAGAGGAATTATAAAAGCACTATGGGGAGTTCCCCTTCACTCAGTTTCCCTTTGGGTTAGCGACTGACATAACCGTGGTGCCTTCGGTTATTGCTAAGAAATTACTATTTGTACAT